GGTAACAACCATAAAAAGGTTGGAATATTTTTTTATTTTTAAAATATAAAACAAAAGGAGTGAAACTTATCTTCAAAAGTTGTACATATGTTCAAGAAACAAATATAATAGAGTGAAGTCTGTTCAGATCTTAAAATAACAATTCCTGACTACTATTGGTTTCTAGATTCAATTTTATGGTAATAAGCACACAGAAAGCAATTATTTTTACTTGATTTTGATTAATGTCTCATACATTGTCCATATCAGAATATTCAAAACAAAGAAAGTATTCAAAAATTACACTTATACTTGTTGTAAGTAAGACAACACTAAAGTCACAACACATCCCTAAGAGTTCTGTTTCCTGACCACCATTAACCTACTAAGTCTGTGACAATTACTATGTCTGTCTGTAATGTAATGTTATGTGTAAAATCTTATTTAAATAAACTAAGTCTAAAATACATTAATTATTTGATTGCACTAATCAACAATACTTACATGCGCGACTTTCAGGATTCGGAACATTTGCAGTTTTCAACTCTTTTACGAGTTCTGTATAAATAACACTGTAAGAATTGATCACACCAAATAAAAGGCCATTGGTCAAAAAAGATCCAACCAAAACTGCATAAGCTTTGAAACCCCCATCAGGTGGACCACTTTTCTGAACATTATTTATATTACCATTGGCTCCCCTTTTGTGATTATTTGTGAGTAAATCAGTGGCTTCATTTAACTTTGCTTCCATTTTCTTAAACATGTGTTAATTTCATTAAATCTACGATCTGTTTCACATACACGTGCTCGATAGATGATCACCGGAGTTTATTTAATTTAGTCATACAATATGGTTTTATGTTTCTGCTTATAATTTGTTCAACTTTTCTTTCAAACGAAACATGGTTAATAGAAACATAATAAATTAAAATTGAAAATAAAATTAACTGAAAAGCGTAACAAAACGGCTTAAAATGCCTATCTCTTTCGATTATGTTGACAGACTGAAACACAGAACACATTTAGACTTTGATTTAGACTGAATACGATATACGGAGTGTTTATTTTCTCTTTGAATTCGAATGAACTACTAGGCACGTTTTCGAAAAAAATAATCGATATGTAAAATATCGATTTTTTAAATCATTAATAGCTGAACAATTTAATAATAACTTTGAATATGTTTACTTACCTACTACCAACTAAAGATATATAGTGTTTGCAAAAAAAATATACATAAAATAGTATTAAGTTTGCATGTACATTATACGAGGGTCAAACTGAAAGTTCTTAGAAAATCAAAAACTGATTACATTAGCCAGTTATTAGTTTTATTATATCTTTTCAAAATATTGTCCATTCACGTCAATACACCGCTGCATGCGATGGAACCACTGGGAAAAGCACTTTGCCCACTCGTCCTTAGGGGTCTCTTCAATGGCATCGCGATACGCAGCCACCGCTTCTTCAGCATTCATAAACCGCTTTCCTTTAAGTTTTTCTTTAATTTTTGGAAATAAATAAAAATCACAAGGCGCGAGGTCGGGGCTATACGGCGGGTGACCCAGTAATTCAACGTTTGATGTCGCCAAATAGTCGATCGTTCGCTTGGCGGTGTGCGACGAGGCGTTGTCGTGGTGAAGGAGGATCCTACTGCGAGGTCGTTTCTCTCGAACTTTTTCCAAGACAAGTGGCAAACAATTGGTAGTGTACCATTCTGCAGAAACTGTTTTTTGATCCTCTAACACAATTGTTGCAAAATGACCTATCCTTCCAAAGAACGAGGCCACCATTTTTTTTCCCGCACTTCGATCTCTCTTCACTTTAGTTGGCAACTCCTCGAAAGGAAACACCCACTGAGCAGATTGTCTTTTGGTTTTAGGATCATAACAGTAAATCCAGCTTTCGTCACCTGTTAGTATGTCGAACACAGCATTTGAGTCACCTCCGTTAAATCTTTCAATCATTTTACGACACCAATCCACACGATGGAGTTTTTGAGCCTCAGTCAAATTATGAGGTATCCACCGGGCGCAAAGCTTCCTGACCGCTAAATGTTCGTGGAGGATTTTGTGCACTTGACTCATACCTATGCCTAAGCTTGTCCGAATCTGTTGATAGGTCACTCTTTTGTCAGTCTCTATCATACGCCGCACAACACAGATGTTATCTTCAGTCGTCGCCGTAGAAGGCCGTCCCTCACGTAAATCATCAGTGAGATTAGTGCGACCACGTTTAAACTCATTAAACCAGTTGTAAACAGTCGCACGAGATGGGGCTTCATCGTGAAAGGCCAATCGTAGTCTATCATAACTTTCTTGTTGACTTAAATGACATCGAAAGTCATAAAAAATCATTGCACGAAAATTTTCTCGTGTTAAATTCATGATGACGTGACACAGACAATTTTCAATTTGCCGCCAAATCGTAAAACAAATGACAAATGAATGAAATATATACTCAGTAATATTGGCAAAGAGTTATATTTTCAAATTTTAGAATTATTTTTTTATTATATTGTTTATAAGTGGCCAGTTCTAAGAACTTTCAGTTTGACCCTCGTAGATATAGGTATACAAAAGTTTTTACACCTTTCTACAATAATTAATGTTTACATAACACAAATTTTGTTAAAGATATTCTATTTTCATCATCATCATCATCATCACCAGCCCTTTTACGTCCCCACTGTAGGGGCTCAGGCCTTCCTTATGGATGGTTAAGGAGCAGGAATCCAATGCGGATTGGAGGGTATTAACGACTGCAAATGCAGCCGAGATTAACGGCTTAACGTGCGAAGCACGGAGTAGCTCGAGATAATATATTTTTTTTTTTGGTCACCCATCCCGTGACCGACCCTTGCGAAAGTTGCTTAACGACTACGATCGCGGGCCGCGGCGCTTATCCACTACGCCACCGAGCTACTCTCTATTCTATTTTAATAGCCGAGACTAACAGCTTAACGTGCTAAGCACGGAGTAGCTCGAGATAATATTTTTTTTTTGGTCACCCATCCCGTGACCGACCCTTGCGAAAGTTGCTTAACGACTACGATCGCGGGCCGCGGCGCTTATCCACTACGCCACCGAGCTACTCTCTATTCTATTTTAATAATACTTAAATTACGTCTTAGGCATGGACAAAATGTTGCAAAATAGTTATAAAATTAAAATAAAATAAATGGGTATTTTTAAAACTAAAGCTCTGGTTATTATGTACAGGTTCCCCACATTTTCCTAGGTCGAAGTTAGATTAGGTTAAGTTTAGTCTGCTAATATTATGTACATTTCCCGTTACCGTTACCCGTAACATAACATAATTTCAAGGCCAGCAAGGCCCAGATTCAAGATGTCACCACCTCTGAGCTCCTGGGTTCAAATTCCGTTCGAGTTAATATAGACAATAAACTGTTTTATATTTTCTCATTAAGTTCTATTTAGTACCTTTTAGTACCTAAATAGAACTTAATTTACCGTTACCGTTACCGTTTTGCAGAGGTGAATTTGCAGGCTTGATCGCTCTAGGCCTTATAGTGTAGTATAATCAACTCATCTGTGCACACGGCGATATGTGTGGGTAATCATTATACTCATACAATGACTTTTTGTGCATAATAATAAGAGATAGAGCCAAATACAAATAAACTAATTTAAACAAATTGAAAATAAATTAAAATAATTTCATTTATTTGAAAACAAGATTATAGTACCGTGCTGTTTGATAATATGGATTCTTAAAAATAACTTAATTTGTTAAATATATTTTGTTTTTAGTAAATATATTAAATAACAGTCGTTATTAAACATATTGAGATTGAGAATGACTTAAACTTTATCAACTGTTTATTTCTATTCTTATATTCCAGTATTAATTTAGGAGTTTGTTTTAGACAAACAAGTGAATACATAATTATCCGTATCAGGTATTTCCATTATTCATCTTTTGCCACAAAATATTTTATGCCATTATTTGCGTACCTAATATTAGGCCACCCTAGGTCCAGGTCTACTGTAGCCTTAGGGTTCTTAAATCCGTCACTCTTTATATATATATGCCTTCGACGAAAATGAAGATATATGCACTTACTTTCATTTATTTAATAAACATCGATACAACTCTAACTCACTTTTTATCGATTTATTTTATCACTTACGCATCTCTACACGAGGCATCATTTTTTTTCCTTTTGAGGCAAAGATCTAATAACCATGCAGCCTTGTCCTTAGTATTGAACTTTTCTAATTTATTTATAGAGCATGTCTTATTGCTTTCAAGTATTTAAAAATATGTGTATATATATCTTGGTTAGTCATCATTGCTTGAATGGAGCGCGGAACTTTGTCGGGTAATTTGTATATTTCCAAAAGTTTATCCAAATAGATGATTCGTTCTAGATTAAATCTTGGGCATTCTAATATTAAGTGATCCAAGTACAGACTAGTAAGGAGATACTACGTAGATCCAAAGTTTGATCTTCAAGATAACAGTAAGTACAGATTGCCGAAGGAATCATTTTCATTCTGTATAGATGTGCATTAAATTTTCCGTGTCCATTTCGAATTCTATTGATAATGGTCTAAAATTCTCTGCTCATCCTTGAAAACTTTGCGAACCAAAGTTTTTTTTTAACGTCCTGTCAATGTCAAAATTTTGTTCATAGCCTATTAAGCCTAGTTTTCCGTCTTGGTCGCCATTTAGATACTTTTATTAAAAAGTACACGCTGTCGCCAAAAATCTTTTATTATCATCATGTAGTTACAGGATATTTTGTATATTATCATACAGTGCCATATAAGCCCTGTCAGTGTACCGTTTTTAATATCTATTAATCTAATTTAAGATTATAAATAACTAAATAAACTGAAATAAGAAAAATAACATCACAGTAAATTACGTATTAAAATTTATTTTGATGTTATTTCAGTTGATTTAGGTATTTATACGTACAAGTTACGTGTTGCATGTTAAAAGCTTAAGTATATAATTCGGATTTGGTCTATCTGCTTTATTGGGAAATGAAGATAAAAAAAATAGCCTTTAAAACATTTTGCTCGAAATAAAATATATTAAGTTTTAATATATAAAAAAATACTTGTATAACATATAGGTTGTATGTTTGGTTAGTAATTCCCAGGACTCTTGTTTCCAAAATAACTTCAAAGCCTATATAAAATATTAGATATAAATTTAGTTTATTATACTCATCACCAGCCCTATTTTTGTTTTTTAATATCTTGTACGGTATCTTTTAAAGTTGGCAGAGTTTCTCTCAGTTTATTCTCCAAATCGTCTTTTTGTTCTTCAGGCGCAGTTAGATATTTTGTAACCAAGTCTGTAAAATTAATAATTCATCTTTATAAATAATAATATAATAATAATAAATAGTTAATGTTTTAATTAATATTATTAGTGCTAAATAACAATATATAATTGTACATTCATTTTCATTTAAAAAAATATCAATCATAAGACACTAGCGCCATCTAGTGACATCCAGTACAAAAGAATTATAATACAATAACTATTTTATCGCGATTTGTTTTTGTGTAAATTATAGCCTATGTTAGCCACATATGATTAAGCTTCTAGTAGGAGAAAATAAAAAAGAAAATCAGCAGTTTCGGAGCCGTTTAATGCAAACCAGTGATTGTTGGATATAACATTAGTACAGAAGTGTAGCTCATAAGTAGCCATCTGAAGCTTCATCTAACTAAATAATTGATTGAATTATGAAGAAATTGAGGGAGTACATAAATTTTTGTGCTTCAAAGCCATTTTTATAGGTTGATGATGCTGAATACAAAATAGTTCATGGTCTGCCTATTAATGTCCCCTGTAGTAGGTAGTAAACTGCTGGGGAACAGGCCTTCCCTTAGATTGGAATTGAAAAGGGAGAATGGACCATGAACCACCACATGATCTATTGAGAATGGCGTAACAACTGCAGATGCAGCCAGGACCAATGGCGCGGAAACAACTGCAAACAGAATGCGCTAACCACTACGCCAACAAAATAGTTATAAGTATGGTTTATAATATGAGTGTACCTTGACACGTTTGAAGTTGCAGAAAATGCTCTTCCTTAACATGAGACTTCAAATATGATGTAATTACAGGTACTTGTCTACCAGATGCATGCAACATGTTTTGTGTGACTATGGTGAATATTGCTAAGACAGCAATATGAAGGCTCAATGCTGGATCATCACAATTCTCCAATTCCGAAATCAGTTTTTCTCTGTGATTTTGAATCAAAAGTCTAAAAAACAAAATATTTTTTTAAATACTTGCAAAAAACATTTACACACAGCTACACATCAGGTTACTAATTATCACTAATAATACAACTTACTTGTCTTTCTTTTTATCTATTTTCTTTAAAATCATCCCACATGCTAGCAGACAATCATCAACAGCTACATAGAATGATTCAATATTTTGTTCACTCAATGTTGTGTTCAACAAAGACAGTGGCTTTTTGTATTCATCAGACAAATCATTGATGATTTTATTTCTCTGATCTACAGTTAATGTATCAACTTGCAGCGAAAGGCTGCATTGGTTTGCAGCATATTTGCAAAATTCAGCAAGTACATCACCACCTAAACTCTTCAGGAGATATTTTACAAAGTTTGGTTGATGCTCAGATGGCAATAATTTCAAACCTTTTTCATACAACTTTATATCATTCACTAAAATATTGATTTTATCTTGAGTTGATGTATGAGTCTGCTTTCTGTTCTGACTTGCATCTTGGAGAAGCTTCTCTGCTGTCTCTTTTGCTATTTTTAACGCAGTCTGGTTAAGGCTCCTAAAAATTATAGATTCATGAAAGACAAGTTATGAACAGCACATCATTCTTAAAAATGTAATGAAATCTCTTACCTTTGTAGATATTCTGTAACTTGAGCCAATAGATCATCAATACCTTCATTTTCCAAAGTTTCTTTGATTATACTTTCTACATCATCAATTGTAACAATTTCCAAGTCTGTTTGACTTTTCTTCACTATATTACTTGATTCTTCAGAATCTGAATCATTATTGACTTGTTTTGATCTTTGATGCTTCTTAACTGCCTTAGTTTTTGTTTCTCTACCTTGAGTACCACCTCCTCCCTTTCCAGATGCAGCTTTTCTTCTGCGCTCCTCACGTCTTTCAGCTTTGTGGTCTATGTGGCTTTGTTGTGTCATTTCAGATGATCTATTTAACTGTCTTTCCATATAAAACTGTTGATACTGTCCTGATTTAACTATGTTTTCAGCTTTTTTCTGCGTCATAGGCATGCAGTTTTGCTTCAAATGGTCAATATAATTATTGCTGAACACTGATAACAAAGGAAAAAGGGTTAGCAATTTTTTTGTGGTTAAATTAATATGTATACATGCAACTAAAATAGGTGCATAGATATGCCCTGTTTTAGTGCATATTATAAAAGTTGTTAGAAAGATCACTAACAAAATTACTTAATATATTCACCTGTATTATCAAATAAAATTGTTGATTTAGAATTGTTTTTCAAAAGAGATTCTAATATATTTTCAATATCTGTACTAGATAAAACAGATGGAAGCAATGTAACAACATCCAAATAGCTTTTGGAAGAGATACATTCTTCTAAAGCTGTCTCCAAATGCTGCTTTATTTGGGATCCAATAACACATGTACTGAGGAAACTTAAATCTTCATTTGTAAGGAGTCTTCTAACATAACCTTTAGGATCTGATATTCCTAATCTGGAGAGTGCATCATATTCAAGATAATTGTTTTGCTTGAAAAAGCTTACTACCCAGTCATTTTGGGATTTAGTGTAGCATGATGGCACATATAATGCACCTGCTTGACGACCAGTTAACACACCGGGTGCATTTAATTGATCAAATAAAGACATGAATAATCGGTCAGTGAGGTTGCAATGGTTGATAATGACAGTGACAGGTGTTGGCTTTAAAAGGCCTGTTATGGCACCTCGTATCTTTGCCTTTGTTCTTGTAATGTATTCTTCTGTGTAAAAAGTTCTAGGTTCTGAAGCATCTTGTTTGCCTATAATAATTTTTCCCAAATATTTCTCTAAAACACTATGTTGTAATAACTCTGCTGGTAAATCATATTGTAGAGTTAACTCCCCTACAGTTATTTGTCCTTGTAACTGCAACTTTTCATTTATTTCCCTAGCAATTTTTTCTAAATAGTAACTAGCTATCAAATAGCCAGATACCAATTGCACTTCTTTCCCTTTAACTATTTCAGCAACACCAGTGTTGATTTGATTCAAATCAACATTCAGTTCTTTAGCTAAGTCCACAGTGTTAATGCGTCCTCCATGCACATATAGTTCATCTCTGATTTCTTTTATAAGCTGTTGGGAAGTCAGATATTCTTTGCCATCTGTAGTAAAAATAACATCCAGTAGTTTCAATTCAATTAGTTTTGTGACAATTTCGATACAATTTCTCTCAGACAATCTGAAAATGATTAAGACAATTTAAAAGATTTGTACCAATATCTATAACGCCATATTTAACTCTTTTTAATTAAAAAGTTTGGATTTTTAAAAATAGCTACTTGGGATTTTTGTATAATTGTATAAATGAAGTTTGAAATTAACATTTATAACAAACATACCTTTGAGATGTGGAACTTAATTGTGCTTTTTGAAAATCGGCAGCCAATCTCTTTATTTCATCCCAATCTGTAGACGGAGCCATATCTACTACCGGCAAAACAATTCTATATACTCAATAATAACGAATTTAACTTAATTGCTGCTGTATATTTTTATAGTAACAACTAGTTCAGCAATGACTTTGATATTTAAATTTTGCTTGTAGAACTTTATTGATTATTTTACCTTTAATATTTATATAGATTCTTATTGTAAATCTAGTATCAATTCCATAAAATAACACTTATGTTATAGAACGACATACATTTTTTGAAACACTAAAATTATTTTAGTCTCTTTCATTGACTTTTGATCCAGTATCTGTCATGACGTGTTAAAATGACACTGACACGTACGTATAGAAGTAGTGTAGTAAACTTCGTCCTCTAAGACAGGCGAAGGTTGCTTGTTGTGTAAGCTTGAAAAAAATATATATTGTCATTATTATTATATATTAGATTTTAGATTTATGGATTCCAATTATTTTTTTATGAGATAGAATATTTTAATCATATTGTCATGAAACACTTAGAACAATTCCATTGCAGAAGTATTTAAATAAAGTGGATTTCAATATCAAACTACTTAGATGTAATGATGTATATTTAGGAACCCAAAGGTTGGAGGTTGGTGTTCCTATTGTGGCGATGGAGACAACTGGCCAGGGAGACTAAAGGATAATTGTCTCCCTCCGAGCTAGGTGTTGTTAGCCCGGGGACCGCGGTCCTCTCCCTCCGAGCTAGGTGTTGTTAGCCCGGGGACCGCGGTCCAACCGAAGTAGGTTGGACGTTCTATTTATGTTAATTGGTAATGAAACTTATTCTGTGCGATGTAGGTTTCTTTGTTCTAAATGTCTTGTAGTTATTAATTTATGTTGCTTGTATTGGTACAGCGCCATCTCGTTACTTGCTGTTGAAACTTATTGCAGTTCGTCTTGCTATCGATGGCTGTGACGATGCTAGTCTTCTCGCTATCGATTGTTGTGGCGATGTTACTGCGATGAATTAGATGTCGCTATGTATCAGTCGCCACATATACATAATTACTTACTTTTAAAAAATTACATTAAATCCAGTGTCAATGAAATTATAAAGTACTTTTATTTTATCTATAGTTTTATTGTAGTAAACGGAAATATGACCATGAAATATTAAAACATGGTCTTATTTAAACTACGGTGTAACGGAATCTTAATTAGATTATTTCTCTAGCATAATTTACGCTCAAGAAAGAGGAAGTATTTGTAAAAAAAAAATTGTCACGAAATCAAACTAGAGTCGCTACGGTACGGCCTTGATTTCTCCATGACAACCCTTCCGATTTTCTTTCATGTATAAAAAAAAAATATTCAAAGCTCAATAAACAACTCATATTCTATTTGTACTTTTTCGTTTTTGATATCTAAGATTCGAACTTTGCAAAGGACATTGCTCAACGTCCATATATTGGTGGCCCCATAACCAAAAAAATATAGGAAAATACTTATTTTATTGTGTGTCTCTAACTAATTTTCATTATGTATTTATTATACCGCGACCAAGTTGTAGAACTTATTATCACGCAAAATATAATTCATTTTGAGGTTATGATTTGTTTGGAAAACCACCAAGAGATGGCACTCTAAGTACATGATATTGATGTCTATATTGTAGAAGCAAAAAACTCAACTTTAAGAAAGTCGGTTTTTCGTTGTGACTTATAAAAGTTTGTAAGTCAATAGACAAATAAATCATACTAATAGTTAAATAAAATACCTATTGATAAGCTTAAAATTAAAAACCTATGTTTTTTGATGGTTTACATCAAAAGATGACGCTTTAAATACCTAAATGACATGATGTTAATATGTTTACGAGGAATATAAAGGTAACGTAATAGAAACAAAGTAGTTTTTAGGATATGTCGTATGAATATCAATCTTTCTGAATAAACAAGAGTGAATTATCAACATTAACAGTTAATGAATTTAGTTTGTATAATATTTAGTTTTTATGTCCTTATGTTTTATTTGGAAAACCACTGTTTAATTTGTGTTTATAAATTATATTAATATTTGCAACAACAGATGTCACTATCAAAAAGCTAGAACTCACTAAGGTTTCGATTTGTCAACTTTAATATATATATAGAACAATCTAAAATAAATGTCTACTGCCACAACAATCCGTGTTTTGTTCATGGTCCTTCGAGCCGGATATTTGAAAAACGAACCAAACTAGCTGTAGACCGGAGAACGACAGTGACGTCAACTAGCTGATATCGGAAAGTAAAGTACAGATAAACAAATAATAAAAGGGCCACAAAACTGTAAGTACTGTCTCAACCATATTATTAGAAACATAGAAGGTTTGAACGTAGCTGTCATAGACTTGTAAAAATTTTAGCTTATTTTGGTTGAGACGGGGAATCTATGCCCGATTTCGTCTAAGTCCATAAATAGCAAAGACTTAGAAAAATTTTGAACATTTGAGACTTAGAAAAATTTCAAGAAAAATACATTGGACTTAGAAAATTTTTTCAACTACGACTTTAAGAAATTTTTTTTCAACTTGAACACAGGATTTTTTAAATACAATATACTACAAAATGAATTCATTAATACGAATTCAAGTAAATATTCACAACAAAATTAACAATGGTTTTATTAATTTCAAAAAATCTCCAAAAGAAAAAATAACAGAATGTTACATTGAAACAAAAATGGAAACTTTAGAAAAACAATGGACATCGTTTGAAGAAAATCATGAAAAACTTATTTGCAAATATGATGAAGCTGAATTCATTACTTCTGAATACAATACCAAAAATCTTTATACAACAACTGAAGATTTGTATACTGATTATAAAACTGAAATGAAAGAATGTCTAAAGAAATTAGTAGGTCCGGAAAAACTAACATACCATTCTGGAGAATCTTCCCAAGCAGATAATGAACATGTCAATGTGAAGTTGCCTAGAATAGCAATACCTAACTTTTCCGGGAAGTACGCGGAGTGGACAACATTCCGTGATCTTTTTTTGTCTCTGATACACAATAATAAATCTTTACAAAATGTGCAGAAACTTCATTATCTCAAGAGTTACTTAACCGGTGAAGCTGAACAACTCCTGAGACATCTGACAATTTCAAATGAAAATTATACGATATGTTGGGAATTATTGGAGACTAGATTTAATAACAAAAAATTTATATCAAATTGTATTTTGAAGAAATTTTTCAGTCAAAAACATATTGTTAATGAATCTTCTAGTGCTTTGAAAGAGCTATTCGATACAACGAACGAATGTTTGAATGCCTTAAAAAATTTAGGAGTTGTAATTGATAACTGGGATATTATCATTATATATATTTTATCACTAAAATTAGATAATGAGTCTAGAAAACAATGGGAAGCAAATATTTGCAGCTCAATAAATGAGTTACCTAAATTAGATCAATTTATGAAATTTTTAGAACACAGATTCAGGTCACTTGAATTTTTAAATCCTAAACCAGTAAAATATATCCAGTCTAATCAAATTGTAACTAACACTGTTGATGTTAAAACTTCCTTATGCTCTTATTGTTCCGATTGTAGTCATAAACTAGGAAACTGTAAGAAGTTTGCTAATGAATCTACACTTTCCCGTCGTAATTTTGTCCAAATATCTAATTTGTGTTTTAACTGCTTAGGTGCAAATCATTCTGTTATGTCATGTCGTTTTCCTACTAGATGTAAAATTTGCAAAAAGAAGCATCATACTCTTTTGCATTCCAATGTACCCAACGTGTCAACTGATAACCGAAATGACAGTAAACAATCAGTTGGTAACAAAAATGTTGTAGCTATAGCAACAACTTCGAGATTTGAACCTGAAGAGAATAACATTACCACTTGTTTCTCTAACAACAAGAGTCAAGTGTTACTTGCAACTGCTTTAGTGAATGCTGAAAATGAACGAGATGGATCTTATATGACACTTAGGTCTTTGTTAGACCAGGGATCACAGGCTTCTTTTATCACGGAGTCTGCAGTTCAACAACTTGGGCTGAAGAAAATACCGAACATAAGTGTCATATCAGGGGTGGGGAGTGATAACAACATGTCACTCAACTCCAAACATGTAGTTTGTGAACAAAACACGGATTGTTGTGGCAGTAGACATTTATTTTAGATTGTTCTATATATATATTAAAGTTGACAAATCGAAATCTTAGTGAGTTCTAGCTTTTTGATAGTGACATCTGTTGTTGCAAATATTAATATAATTTATAAACACAAATTAAACATACCGCCCACTATAGACAGAATGTACATCATTCCCGTCCACCATAATACAAAATACAAAAGCAAGTGGACTGTAATAAGTTAATGTTAATAGTTATTTATAATGGTGGTTAAGAATGATAACGAGTAATACAAATAATGTTAATAGAATGTAAGCTACCATTGATAAATTATTACAATTAAACAAAATTAGTTACTTGCGATTGAAACAAAAATAATATTAGATGTGATTACATGTTGCTTTTTATTCGCAATAAATAATATTAACTAAAGTTTCTGTTATTTGAGTTAAATCACATATTGTGCAAATCAATAATTCATAACTTAATTCACTATTTACACATGTTCACTGTTGACTACAAAGTAAGTGGTTAAAATCGATACAATAACAAACACATTTAATGTTAGTAGAAAAGAAAATAAACTACAATAAATTAAACATTATATTTCAACAAAATAAGTTGTTCAAATAAAACAAATAGTTAATAAACATAACAAATTTCACATTCGTGTTCGTTCACGTTTCACCTTTGTGACAAAAAAAATAAACAAAACCAATAATTCTTAAATTATTTACATACGGGTAATATACATAATTTAGATATAGGCCGTTTTATCACAGCATCCTTACATTTTACACTTACTACCCTCGTAATGTTGTCCAAACCCTTGTGTTTGTCAGAAATAATACCCATAATCCATCTCGTTGGTGGAAGATTGTCCTCCTTAACGAGAACAACATCACCAATATTTGGTTCAAGTGTTTGGTTAGCCCACTTATAGCGATGCATAAATTGAACTAAATATTCCGTTGACCATCGGCGCCAAAAGTTTTGTAATGTTTTCTGTAATAATTGCCAACGTTTAAGTGAAGAAATAGATGATGCTTCGAAATTTTTGTCTGGAACTGATAAAATAGATTCGCCTATTAAAAAATGAGCAGGTGTGAGTGGCATCGGATCTTGTGC